GCCCCCTTCTCTTTCTTCCATTGGTTGTACCATATTTCGGCCACCCCTTTTAGTTGGTAGGCCGCGAACTGCGCCAGATCTTCTGACCTCATGCCCATGATAGCTAATATCTTGTGGACTTCATCAATGAACTCTTGAGGGTCTTCATCTAACTTAGACCCATAGAATTTCGGGGGATTCATCCGCACGAAGTCTCTCACCCGAGATGCCGGGGTAGGAGCCTGAGGAGCTTGGACCCAGTGGTTGGCTTGATTAGCCATAGCTTGTGCAAATAAAGTAAGGGCATCCCGAAGATCCCAATTGGTCGGTTATTCCTCGGGTGTGCGGGCTCGTCTTCCTCTTGTATTAGACATGATCTAGCATAGCAAAGAACAACCGTTAGGGAAGAACTTAATTCAACTTTTACAGCACGAGTTAGAACATGGAGAAGGGAAACATTTCCTAAAACATCTCATAGCCTCCTACTCATAGTTGTGGTGTACAACACAACCATGAATCGGACCCTCATCAACGCGGTGTGTTGGACTCCGACAATCTATCAACCTAGTGCTCTGATACCAAGTTTGTCACGACCCAAGCCTATGGCCTAGACTTGACCGGCGAATGGGGAACCCGAAGGAACCCCAAACAAGCCTCATAGCGTATCATTACACATCATTGGTCGCGGAAGCAATTAAAATGACCATAAGCGATAAGCATAATCAAGGGGAAAATCGGAACTAAGAGAGCAAAAGAAACAAAAAAGGAATGATACATAAATACCATAGATGAGTCAAGCTCAAGCATAATACACAACTTGTCCAACACCACCTCTAAACATGAGTACTTAGCGGGGGCCAAGACAAACTACCGGGCTCACCCTCATAGTCAAAACATAACTAAAAAGGAAAAGTCTTATACATAGCAAAAGATCATAAGCAACGTCCCCGGAATGGAGGACTCACCAATAACCTTGATAGAAAATCGTATTAGCCACGCGGAGGAGGATGGTCAAGCGGTGCTCCGGTCCCTACATGGTGACATCATGTAGGCATAGAGTATGCGTTAGTACGTTTGAATGTACTAAGTATATGGGATGCAATACAATGCAACAATAGATGAACATTATAGGCAAAATGCATAATCATACCCGATAGATAGCATAGTAATGAGATGATATGTATAATGATGCTTACATAAAAATCATATTTAGTGGGACGTAGTACATGTGTGGCGAGTGACCATCAATATAGTATTTCCAAGGCCTACCACCCCCTTGGAGAGGCGAAAGAGGTACAAACCCCTCAATGTGGTTACCCGGGCCTACCACCCCCCGAGCTAGGGACCATGGTACAAACCCCTCGATATGGTTATACGGGCCTACTACCCCCCGTACTAGGCAACCAAGGTACCAACCCCTCGATACGGTTACCCGGGCCTACAACCCCCCGAGCTAGGCTTGGTCGACTCACAACACTTATATTGAGAAAATCATATACATGTGTCCATTTCATCATCATTTCAATAATTATATAATCATCCGACTCATAGGATGTACATTGGACCTTCCATTTCCTAAGAATTCTATAGGTGGGCATTTTATCAATCATATGGTGGGCTATTGTTCATGTAAATAAAATCATATAATTCAAGAGTACTAAGTCCAACCAATTCCAAAATCCATATAAATCAGCCCACCAACAACATACATATATATAAATCAACCTTCATAATTTGATCATGGAAGCATAAAAACCATAAACATCACATAATAATTCCAGTTCATGATAATATACAAAATAGACCATAATAGGGTGTGTAGTAGTAATTCCATACTTCAAGAGTTCATAAATAACCATAAGGACCCATAAACTTGAAGTAAAAATAGAGGATAAATGGTTGGACTTGTGGAAAGGAAGGTTTCCACAATCAAACCCACATACCTCAACTTTGGAGAATCCTTGATGAAGATTGGAATGGAGAATTGAAGCTTGAGATTGAGTCTTGAATTCGGAATTAGAGCTTGAGATGTTTGAATTTGGTTGAAGATCTTGGTGGTAATTTTGGAGAGGGCTTAGAGAGTGTTTTGAAGTACAAAAAATATGACTAAGTATGGGACATTTATAAAAAATGTCCCCAACCCGCTAAAAAAAATAAGCTTACTGGAATTTGCAATTCTGTAGAGACAGGTTTTACGAAAATGGTCATAACTCTCTCATCCTAACTCGGAATGAGGTGAAACCAAGTGCGTTGGAAAGCTAACTCAAAGAGATTTAATTTAATACTTTGTGACCCTTCCAGTTCCTTGTTTTCTAAGAGATATTCCCCTTTAAAGTTGACCCTGCAAATCACATTTTTTGCGATTTTCGAATTTTGATACGGTTGTTCTAAAATTCGGGTTAGACCCATTTCCCACTCAATTTGACCCCCTGAATAAGAATATGAAGTCGAATTTCCAAAATCATTCACAGATTTTGATATATATGGAAATTACAATTATAGGTGTTTCCGAAGCATATTTTCGAACATTTTTTGGGTCGTTTCAGTTATTGATAGCCTACAGTAGGCAGTATGCGAACCACATGGTAAGAGACATAACCTTTTAGGTTGGGGAACAAGAATTGTTCAATGTGTCACCCATTCAAGGAGTTTTGAGGTTTAGTAAGAGGGACAAGCTTAGCCCTCACTATAGTGGTCCATTTGAGATTCTTGACCGTGTGGGGGCTAATGGATTACAGGTTAGCACTACCTCCCAACTTGACTGTAGTTCATTTGATGTTTCATGTGTCTATGCTAAAGATATACCATAGGGATAAAGATTATATCATCAAGTGAGATTCAATAGTGTTGGACAAAGACTTGCAGTATGAAGAGAAACCGATTGTGATTCTTGATCGGTATGTCCGTAAGTTTGGATAAAAGAAATCAGATCAGTAAAGGTCACATGGAAACATCATCTACTTCGGAGACCGCGAGAGACGTGCGAGACAAGTACCCTCACTTGTTCGATGATTCATGTACTATACTATTTTCTATTTTAACCTAGTTTTTCTTGTTTGATCACCTGGGACGAGTGATGGGATAAAATTGTATTTGTTGTAACAACTTATTTTGATTGTTATGACTAGGTCAATGGTGAATGAAATCGGGCAAGAAAACTTTTCATTAGAGACCTAAAAATTCTAGGCTAGACCAGTTCAAACAGAATTCGAGCGAGGCAAAGTCTAGGTCCATCCAAGAATGGATGAGGCAAAATGTCTAGGCTTGATCTCCTGGGTTTCCTTTACCGGCTTCGTCAGTGTTACATTTCAGATTTCCTTCTTCTGGTAGACTCCATGTTACACTGTGATAATGCACATGAGGTCTGTAGTCTTTCAGTTGGCTTATAATGGCAATCCACTCCCTTCTTTCCAACTTGATCCATGTGTATTTAATCTTCACCAACTTTCTCACCAAGTCTTGAACTTGCTCCTCCATTGTGTGGTATGTAGTATTTCCTCCATACTTTCTGTTGTTCCTTCTCTTTCAAAGTGTCCACATTATGAGTGCTAGCATGGCTTGATATATCACTTTTAGCTTTGGTGAATTATCTTGTTTCCACTGTGATAATTAGTTGTTGAAGGTTCATTCCAGTAATGTTTATACTTGCAAAACTAGCAAACTGCCTCCATAGCCTAGTGGCTATAGGGGTTGTTAGAAAAAGATGTGACATAGTTTCCTCCTTTGTTTCACAACACCAACATCCAAAGGCAATTAGAATGTGCATTCTTTTGAGGTTATCATCTGAAGCTATTTTCCTATTTCATACCCTCCACAAGAAGAAATTCACCTTAAAAGGAAGTCTTTTACACCATATAAACTTTGTTGTTACGACAGGCGGAGAGCAGTGCCGTATTGGTCTAATTCTTTGCGCCTTATCTGCCTCATTGAGGCAATTACCAGTCAACGTTAGTTGGAATGTGATCTTTGCCTTTTTTTCCACATACTAAAGGCCCCTCTCTTTTTCCTTATCGCCTTAGCGCAGACAGGAAAATCGGCATTTCAAAAACAATTAATAGAAGAAAGTTCCCAGAATATTCAGGAAGGATGAAAGCCTTTATCTTCATCTCCTGAGACAGTTTTGTCAGCAGCTTTGTTTCATTCCAACTTCTATTTAGCATAAATTCCTTGATCTCTATTTCTTCTTCAATAACATTTTTTCCCTCTATAAAGTATAAAGCTCCTTGTTTTGTCCAATTATCAAACCAAAAGCTTGAATTTCCTTCACCTGCCACCAAATATCTGCTCAATGGATAAATCTCCTTTCCTGCTTATGTCTTCTATAATTTCTTCCATATTATCATCTTCCTCTTCTTGCAACTTTTTGTCTATCTCTAGTTGAGATAATTGATGAATCTTTGGTGCCTTCTGTGAGGTAAGTAACCCTTTGTTTTCTTGTTCCATTCTTCCCTTCACTGTGTCCCCAACTGAGCCTTCCTTTCCCCGATTGCAACAGTATGCACTACCTGATGACTCTTGTTCATTTTTTGCTCTACTTGCTGCCTGACTGTGGCTGGTATATGCCTTCTGTGTTGTTCCTTCTTTTGTTTGTGAGTTGCTGCTGCCAGGAGTTCTTAGCCCATGCTTTTGATTATCTGTTAACATATTTTCCTCTTGCCTATATTGTTGTTTGTTTTTTCTTGCCTCTATTATTTGTGATTCTCCATGTTCCCCAATAGTTTCATCTTCTTTCTGCCTGATGTTAGAAGTTTGTTCTTTAAGTTGTTCCTTATCTCCAATAGTAACTCCCCCTAGCTTCAGATCATTACCCCCTGTGTTTCCTTCTCCTACCCCAGTGTCATTATTGTCCTCTAGTGCTCCAAATTTGTTAGCTATTGTTACTATTTAGGTCTATTAATCTCTCAATATTACTGTTGTTTCTATCTATAATTTTGTTTAACTTAAATTCATAACTGGTTGTGTACTGATATTTTAAAAAAACAATAATTTATAGAGAGAAACAACAGTAATATTGAGGGAATAAATATAACATTTTGTCTTTCTAAATGAATTATTGAGCAAAGTTGTGTAAATATATGTAACATGCATGAATATTTATTCCAATACCTCTAATAATTGTAGACAAGTTCTAGGCTAGACCAGTTCAGACGAAATTCGAGCGAGGCGAAGTCTAGGGCCATCCGAGAATGGATGAGGCAAAATGTCAGGCTTGATTTATAACCAAGAACCCGTAGGACATTATTACAAAATTGATTTTGGGTGAGTAAAACTCCTAGAATCAAACTTGGCATGAAAGAGATATAAGGGAGAAAGGTATGTTGAAAAATGGACTTTTTAGGAATTTTTGAGTCTCTAAAGTTCGTGCAATCCGCTATAGCGCGCGGTAGGCCACTATAATGGGAGAGTGCATGCACTATGGCGGGGTGACAATTGCTATAGCGGGGTAAGTCAGGGTTTTACGCAGAAAAAGTCTCAAAACCTTTTATTTTATGCATTAATGTTTTTGAGTTTGAGAGGAGAAAATTACGGCAATTTCTACCCAATTTTTCATCAAATTCATCGGTAAAGGTAAGTTCATTACTCCCCGATCTTGTAATTTGATTCTTAAGCCTTAGAATCTAGGGTATTACTCTTGGGGGAAGATTTTGATTTGATTTAGTGGTGGGAAAAAGCCTCGGGTCTGGTAGAATGATCATGAATTGGCCCGAGTTTAGGATTTGGGTATAAGTTGGATATATTTAGGCCATTTTTGATTGATTGTTGTTTTTATTTATTGCTTTAGACCAAGAACAAGCCATGGCACCGAGAAAAGGGAAGGCTCGGATTCTTTAGAGCATTGAGGCTTAATTTGAAATAGGTATATAGTTGTATGTTTTCAAGTTTATGGATGTACACATGTCTACCACTTTATAGTATCACTTGTGTAATGCATGTTGGGCAAGACATAAAAAAACATATGAAATATCATCATGTTGATAATCTCATGCAGTGAACCTTTTTACTTTACTTATGGTTTTAAGTGTTATTATTCATTGTGATTGTGATTGTTTATGATTGCTGGTTGGCTTAGGTACCACACCGATATATGAATAATAATGGTTGGCTCGATACCATACCTCGTAAGAATATTAATTCTAGTTGACTCGGGTACCATGCCCATACACTAACAGTTTGTGTGTGGTTCCTTGAGAGGACCAGGTATGTGTATTTGTGGTTCCACGATAGGGTGGGGTTCTTGTAATTGTAATCATGTGGGACCTGTTCTAGGTATTGGTTAATTCATGTTATTGTGACTGTGAGTCTATGTGTATTGTGATTGTTGTTATTATGTGTTGGCTAATGTTTACTATGTTGTGGTTATTTGTTTACATTCATGATTTGGAACTGACAGAGTGATCCTACCAGTACACAATACACTCTGGTTGTGTATTGATATTGCACCTGTTTTTTTTTGTTGAGTACATATCATCTTTAAGGGGCTGATATGAGACCTCAGTTAAAGGATGTTTGACTTCGAATCCAAGGTGAGCTACTCTTCCAGACTGTCATGGATTCCTCTACATCTTCTTGCCTATCTTTTCAGACACAAACTTTAGATTATTAGTTTATGTTTCCTAGCTTTCAGGGTTTCATCCTCATTATTGACTAAATAGAGTTTTGCTACTACGATTTTCAGTTTCTAGAGGTCTTATTTTCGTAATATTTTGGACTAACGACTGAGTTTATACAAACTCAATTCTTTAATTGTTTTAAACTATTTTCTTACTATTTATTTTCATGAGTTGAGACATTGTGTGTTGGATAAACTTTGGATGGATAGATTGTTCTCCCATCAGGTGGTTAATGTGGGTGCCACTCACGACTATAAGGTAGTAGAATATTTTAAATAATTGAGTGACATTTTTTACCTTTTCCCCTTGATACTATGTTAAATTGGGAGGTTCTTTAGCTGGTGGACCAACCACCTGCATTGTCTTTTTTTGACTTTGAGTAATGGTATTACGTATATTGACATTGACATGAAAATGGAATATTAATTTAGTGCTTGGCTTTATTAAGACTAAGAGCTTGACTTGTTACACGAATAATGCATCGTACGTTCCATATATAAATTCATATCTCTATCTTTGTCTACCTTGAATATATAATATTGTTATTAATTTAAGTTTAAAAAATACAATAATTTATAGAGAGAAACAACAGTAATATTGAGGGAATAAATATAACATTTTGTCTTTCAAAATTAATTATTGAGCAAAGCTGTATAAATATATGTAACATGCATGAATATATATTCCAATACCTCTAATAATTGTAGACAAAATGGTGTCATTGTCATAAACCTATTTATACATTGAATGCGGGAATATGTCAAGTTCATGTAATGCATTGCCAGTTTTAGATCTAATTCCTTTACGAATATATCTTTCAGGTTATGTTACATCGAGCTCCAAAAATGTTCGTACTATGTAAACTTAAAATTTAATTTATTGAGTTCTTTATTTTTTGCTCGCATTTTGATGTGCGGTTCACATAATTAGGTGTCCAACATACTTCAATTTCAAAAACTTGACAGTCTAAAAAGCCTTTGAACCCTGTTTGACTCGTTCTCCTCACCAGTTTGCCCTCCATAAAATGAATCAAGCTAGTAAGCTCCAAGTACTAAATGTTTATATATATATATACTACCAATTTTCAGCGATAAAATTCAATAAATCTTAGAGAAATCAAATTTCAAAACAACTATAACAAATTATCAAGATATTCTGTCATAAGCTTTTAAGACCACATTGCCACCATTATTTGTATGAAAGATATTTTGAATCATCTCCTAAACCAAGAGAATATTTTATGTAATTATACTTAGATTTTTTACCCTTATTCTATCCTTCACAAAATCACTTTGGTTAAGATAAATTAATTTATGCAATAGAGGATTAAGATTTTTTTGTTAAAAAATAGAGGATTAATAAGACTACTTATGCCCTTTTTCTTTCAATTTTGCTAGAATTTTTATCCTTTGAAAGATTCACTATTTCAGTTACATATTATGAATTCCTTGTGATTTGTAAACCTTATTTTATACATTAAAAAATAAAAATAAGTTGTGTGGTTGAAGTTTCATTGTAAAGGACCCTATTAACTTGACAAGATCTAATTGTATTTTCCATGATATATCGTGATACTCGTGGATCATGTTTTATAAGTAATATATTTTTCGGCGTTTGTCTATGATTCTTTTTTAAGAATCGAACTCAGAAAATATGTTTGGGCAAAAATTTTAAAAATTGGATTTTTAGATTTTAAAAAAAAAAAAAACAACAAAAAAGTATTTATTTTTTTTGAATCCATATTTCTCACAAAAAGTAAAAAAATAACTCTAATTTATATTTATGGACAAACATATGATATTATTTTATATTTTAAAAATAAAACTATTTTTTTTCATTGGTAAAGAGACCACAACTTTACTTTTAACATGAATGAGGTAAATGCTATCAAAAGACTTCGATTTGGCTAGAAAAAAAGAGAGAGAGAGAGAGAGAGAGAAGGTATTTGTTGGCATATTATTTCTAGAAGTAAAAAAAGGCTTTGGTAGGTTAGGAAAAAAATGTATTTATTGGCATATTATTATTGAAAATATGAAAGACTTTTGTTGGTTAGAATAAAAAAAGGGTATTTACTGGCCTATATTATTTTGTATATGTATATTGGTTAGATAATTGTATATTATACATATGTATTTGTATATTATGGCGAGAGAGATTGGGAAAGGGAGGAGAGAGGCGAGCGAGATTTGGAGAGGGAGGAGAGAGGCGAGCGAGAGAGGACAATAATTTGTATAATGCACATCTCGTATGTATAATTCGCAGGTATGTTTGTATAATTCACGTGTTTTTGTATAATTGGGAAATATAAAGTCTGAAATTATACAAATATAATACAACTCGAAATAACGAATTGATTCAAACATAAACGTATGAACTTTAAACAATTATACAAAATATATTATAGAAATTACATTATATAAATTATATTATACAAAATTCAAAAACTACACGTTTATACAAACTTTAAAAAGTTATACAAAAAAAGATTGAATGTATATGATGACAAAACTGAAAAACCAAAGGAAATCATCGTCATATACAAATACAAACAATCGTATACAAGTACAAATCACACAAAGAGTTGTCAGCTGCGAATTATACATATACAAACGTGACTAATTATACAAACTTGAAGTCAGCCCACATAATTAATGTATAATGGTAGTCGCGAGTGGTAATTATAGCAAACTATAGCTATGATGAGTAATTAAGTAGTATAAATTGCTTAACCGTGTAATTTTCCCATTTTTTTAATCTATATTTTCAAATAATTAGGTATTTTAATTTTACCACTCATTAAGAGAGTCCTACCAAGTATCATATATTGAGGAAGATACACCTAGATACATACATTTTTGCTAATAGATACACTAATTTTTTTTATCTATATTTTCAAACAATTATGTATTTTAATTTTATCACTCATTAAGAGTTTCCTATCAAGTATCATATATTGAGGAAGATACACCTAAATACATGCATTTTTGCTACCATATATACTAAAATAAGGAGAGAGGCGAGCGAGATGGGGTGGGAGGCAAGCGAGATAGTCATGTATATATCATGTATTTTTATATATCTGGTGTGATTCACATGTATGTGGGATACCGATACATAGAAAGTAGCGAGCAAGATGAGAGAGAGGCAAACGAGATTTGTTATGTATCTCAGATACATGCGAATCCAATTGGATACAGTATATCTAGAACCATTTACTTCTAATTCTAAACCAATGTATCCCAAGATAGACAATTTGGTCGTACCAAAATCTGATAAGATTCGTGATCTAACAACTAAAGTGTATCTAAATTATTTACTCCTAAACTAGTGAAATTTCGATAAGTTTTCCAAAATAAAATACTTTTTTTTTTGTCATTTTCTCCTCAATAGGTTAACAATCTAACACCAAACTTCCATGATATGTCGTGAATCATGTTCTGTAATATTTATAATAACCTTTGCTGCAGCTAATTGAAATCTATATAAACACTATAACTTGTAATCATTTTATCACCACTTTCTTTTCAAAATCTTTTGTTATACTTAAAAAATAAATAAATATGGATGTGAAAGGCAAGTTGATTGCTTCAGTAGAAGTGAAGTGTGGAGGACACTTGGTTCATGATATTTTTCACACCAAAACTCATCACATATCCAACATGTGCCCTAGCAAGATCCAAAGTTTTGAGATTCATTAAGGTGAAACTGTAAAAGTTGGTTCAGTCGTTAACTGGAAATATAATGACGGTAATATATACACATTATTCCTTTTTCTACTTATGAATCATTTTTCTTTTTATATATTTAGGTGTGTTTGATGGTACTGAGAAAGTTCATTTCCAATTGAACATTTTTCATAAAAAAGTTATTTAATGGTGTTTAGTTACCATAGGGTAAACATTTTACTCTAAAAAGGGAAAATAACTTCTTTCATTTGAGGGGAAAGTCATTTTTTCATATAAGTGTCCTAATTTTTAAGATCATATTATTTGCTCCCAAAAGTTTATGTACTTATAAGTTTCAACGGGTAATATTATTATACGCAATATTATTATTTTTTAACTTTTTTTTTACTCTCTCTAGGATCTCCCATCCGTGTTGCTCCCTTGGTGACTCGAACTCGCAACCTTCGGGTTGGAAGTGAGGGGTGCTTACCATCCGAGCAACTCCTGTTGACACCCAATTTTGACCCTCCCCAATAGGAATTAGTTTTTAAGCTTCTTTAATTTCAAATAATTTGCAATAATTAGCTTTACGAGGTTCAAATATTTTCTCAAGTTACTTTAAGAATTTTAGTTACTTTTCCTAATATTTTAAATATCATATATATATATATATTTCTTATAAACAAAAATCATCTCAGGATTTTACATTTTTGGATAAGTACTTTATTGATTTGGTTTAAATCATAATTGCCATTTCGAATATTAGTTCGTATTCTAAAACAATTATTTTGCAATCAAGTTGATTATTTTATATCATTAGAACTAAGAAGCTCATTAATTAATTTCTACTAATTCTTCTTTTTATTTAGTTTTTAGCCGAATCACCAATTAAACTCATTTGGCTAGATTTTTAATTCCGATGGGCCTCGATGAAAATTCATACTATCATTTTCTTAATCGCAATTTTAGTGATTTTTCAACTAAATTGTAAGACCAAAGGTTGGGCCATTCACTTAGAATTTTCAGCAGCCCATATTAGTTTCCAGAAGACCCTTTCTTTTTTTATTGGGAAAATTGTACATAATGGCAAACTATTAATTCAAATTAAATGGTATAATCACACTTTGATTTAATTGTGTCCTATAGCAAACTGTTTGCCAGTGCCTCTCTCCCTCAAACTCTCGCTCGCCACTATCCTCTCTCGCTCACTCCCTCTGTGCTCGCCTCTCTCGCTTTATACAACAGAATTGTATAAATTGCGTTTCTGTTTGTATAAAGCGCGAGAAAATTGTATATACACATGCAAATACATATATATTCGTCCTATACACTTATAATTATACAATAAAAATATTCCCCTGCCCAGTTTTATGTTTGTATAATGTATAATTTATGTTTGTATAAAGCGAAAGAGAGCGATTTTTTATATACAAATATTTTTGTCAACGATTTATACAAACGAGAGGCTAACAATAATTTATACAAATGGCCTGCCAGCGAAATTATACAATTCTGAAGAGGAGCCAACGAATTATACAATTGCTTCTTTTTGTATATATGTATAGCGAAATAGACAGCTTTCAATTGTATATGTATAGCGAATTATACATATATATGTCTGCTATGGAGCGCAATTATGCAAACTTTGCTATAGCATACAAGTATGATTTTTTTTGTTTGCTATATATGAAAGTTTCTCTTTTTTATTTATTCTCTAATTCAGAGAGATCCAGCCCAACTCTTTCTTCTCCTCAATCTTGACCCGGCCCAAATCCTTGTTCATCAAGAGAAGACCCAGAATGTTCAGGAACTACACATAGCAGTAGCTCACAGCAAGTCACGGCGTCTTCTCGTTTAACTCAAAACGATGATCCAAAACAGCAGAAAATGACTCCAAGTACATTGAGGGCAACACGGCGTCTGCGCGTGTAGTTTGCGCTCGCGTCGTCTCTTCTGTCCAGCACGATAGTACCATTCCAGTTGGATTTTTTGGCAAATGCGTGCAGTAGGAGCAGCAAAAGCCAGCTGCGAAATTCATCCTTGTACCGTGAGATTGCTCCACGTGGCATGGCGAGGATGGAAGGTCGATCCCAAGCGTTGATTTCGCCCTTTCCTCTTTCGAAATGGGCAGAAATCGCAGAGAAAAGGTGTTTAGCTCGAATGATGCAAAGTTTTTGAATTTCAAATTGGAGTTGGGCCTTGTTAATCCGGATTTTTTTGATCCTTTTTTCCTTTGAATCCGAACCCTAGCTTTCTTCTATATATTCCTCTTTATTCATTCTAAAGGGAGAGATTTTTGTTTTGGAGAGAAGAGAGGAGATTTGAGGAAAATTTGGGACGAACATATATTTTGATATTCCTAATCTTACAGCTAGATACAAGCGTTTAGGATAGCTAAGGGAGGGCTGCGGGACTAGGATCTGGACACTTGTTTAATTCTCATTTGTGTCCTTTCCCTATCTTGTTCGTCGGGGCTACCGGAAATTGTCGAACCCCGCATTACGGTGGTGGAAATCCTTGCTCGTCTCGCTCCCATTCGCTGCTCACAACAAGGTAAACAACTCATAATACTTTTATTCGTTTTGAGTTCAATGTGTTGGTGTGGAGTTCGGCTCTTTGTCATCTCTGATATGATTCTATATGGTAGGTTGAGTCTTAGTCTTTAATGTCTCTTCATCTTCTCTCTGAAGTCGGTAATGTGTTTCTCTTAAGACGATTTAATGACTGTTCGAGTCTGGTCCTCTATTTTGTATTCTGCTCAAACCTACGACTGTCGTGCGCTCTTTACATTTTAGCTTGTTTCATTGGTTAACCAGGGTATTGTTTTATTCTCACTTTGTTGGATTAGTATTCATGTTTTTGTTATACGTTTGGAGGAAGTCGAAGGCATTAGCTAGTTGTACGTTCTATGTCTTATAAATATAGTTAAATTGAGGGATCGTTTTTTTATTTATTTATTTTGAACTGTTTATATCCTGTTCCGGGAGGAAATCCTTCATATATGTTCCCGAGTTATATGTTGCTCACTGTCTCACCTCAAGAAATTTGAACTCTTCTTCTGTGTCTGTCCCATCTCGAGATAGCCGTGCCTTGAACTTTTGGGAATGCTGGAAATTAGTTGCTATTTTCTCTTGGTAGCATTGTGATGAAGTCCCGTTCTGGTCCCATGTGTTGGTATTTTCTCATGTGTATGTGCCCAGTTTGAGTCTTATATATATATATATATATATATATAATGTCAAAATTCGTTTCTTAAACATGCCTAAAATTCCTGCAAAGTCTTAGCTTACTTTGTTAATTTTGCCTGGTAACACTTGTTCATTTATTATTGTTGTCTCTTCAGTGAAATAATGGTCATCTCCTTTACTGTTTCTTCCTTTCTCTATTTTTTTTTCTTTGATAGTTTGACTATTCTAACATGGTACTTTCGAGTGTCGTGAAAAGGCTATGCTAATCAGACCCCGTGCAGGTACGGTCTTTAAAGAATTTGGTGTTTAATGTAATAGTTGTATTTCCATTCGCTTTGTGTTGACATTGGTCATCATTCTCAATCTGAGGAACTCAATCTTACAGAACAAAAGCCTCAGATTCATGTTAAAGAGAAAGACTAATCATGCAGTCTTAGGCCGTCTATGGGCTTCTACTTATAGAAGAGTGATGGGCCAAATATTTTTCTCCTTCATAGAAAGACTGTGGATTCAACTCTTCTGGCTTTTCTTTTTCTTTTATTTTATATAGAGAATAAAGTTTGTTATAGGACTGACTAATTGTAAATAGGACAGCTGGAGGTTAGTTACAGATTTAGGTTTCTTCTTTCTAGCATATATAGCAACGCTTGTACAGTGGATTGGATCATCACGTTTTTCATTTTTAATATCACAAGAGAAAATTCCCAAAGTTTCTTTCTTTTTCTACATAGTATCAAAGACTTAGGGGTTTTTCTTTCTGCTCTCTTCTGTTGAATCTCTACTCTTTTAGTCATGGTTGAAACCACTGATGTGCCGAGCACTATTATTTCGACTGGAGCACTCGATGTTTCTCACCCTCACTACCTTCACCCCTCTGATTCTCCCGGAATGATGTTGGTTCATTCTCTTTTTGATGGCAAAGGATTTGCTGGTTGGAAAAGAGCTATTGTGATTGCTCTTTCTGCCAAAAACAAGTTAAGTTTCATTGATTCTTCTCCCATTGTGCCCCTTATCACATCACCTCAGCATTCTGCTTGGAGCAGATGCAACAACATGGTAATTTCTTGGATCATCAACTCTCTTTCACGGGACATAGCTGAATCTGTCTTGTATTATCCTACTGCAAAAGAAATCTGGAAGGAATTAGAGGCCAGATTTGGGCAGTGCAATGGAGCACAATTATATCAACTTCAAAAGGAACTCAATGATGCTGTACATGGGGCCAATGATATCGCAGGTTACTTCACCAAGGTGAAGAAGTTATGGGATGAACTCGACGCTCTTAATGTTTTTTATTGTTGTGTGTGTGCTTGTACCTGTGAAGGAAAGGCGAAAACTGCAAAATCCCATCAGAATGGTAGACTCATTCAATTTTTAATGGGTCTAAATGAGGCATACTCAGGTGTAAAGAGTAGTATTCTGATGATGGACCCTCTACCAAGTGTGGGTCAGGCTTACTCCTTGCTCATTCAGGATGAAAAACAGCGTGAAATGCATGTAGTCTCACACCCTACAGACGTTGCTTTCATGGCAAACTATCAGAAGTTCCAGAGAAGATTCACTCCTTAGAGATCTCCTCCAAATGTGGATGGACGGATCAATCCTAATTTCGACAAATCTAAGACAGGAAAATTTTGCACTCATTGTAAGCTTACTAATCATAAGGTTGCTAACTGTTACAGATTAATTGGTTTTCCCTCAAATTTCAAATTCACAAAGTCCAAGAGGAACCCAAGTTTTGGTACCACTGCTGCCCAGGTTGGAACTTCACAACTACCTGATGGTATGTCCTCTAGACAATACTTCTCTCCTGAGCAATCTTCACATCTATTCCAGCTGATGCAAGATGCCAAGCCTAGCCAACAAAATGAGCAACAATCAGATGTCAATGTCTTAGCCAATTGTGCTGGTATAGTCAAACCCCTTCTCGATCCTACTACGTTTTCTTTATTCACTCATCTTGATTCACATTCATGGATTCTTGATTCAGGTGCTTCCGAGCACATGACTTATGAGTCTTCACTCCTTTTCAATCTCACTTCCTTACCCTCTCCTATATATGTTTGTTTGCCTAATTCCCATCGATTGAAAGTAACTCACAAGGGCAGTGTTTCTTTACTTCATGATCTGGTTCTTCATAATGTACTTTATGTGCCTGATTTCAAGTTTAATTTATTATCCGTTCATAAATTCACTACTCAACTAACCAGTATCTTGATTTTCTCTTCCTTTTGTGCTATATTGCAGGCCCCTTCTATGAAGAGGCTAGTGGTTCTTGGTGAAGTCCATGGTGGGCTTTATCTTCTCAACTCAACTCCACTCTAGTCTAGCCATGTTTCCTCTTCCCCTACTTCTCCTCAGGAGGATCACTTGGTTGCTAATACTCCTTGTAATGAGTCTGTTTTAGTAGCTGATTCTAGTTCTATTTCAATTCCTTCAAAGCTTTTAGCTAATGATGTAAGCCTCTGGCACAATAAACTGGGGCATTTGCCCATATCTAATATGAAAAATCTTTCTATTTTTCACTCTGTTTGTATTCCTGATTCTATTGTTCCTTGTGATATTTGTTGCAAATCTCGACAAGCTAAATTGCCTTTTCAACCTTCCATCATTTCCTCTAAGTCCATTTTTAATCTTATACACGTGGACACTTGGGGACCTATAAGGTTTCAACTCACAATGGTTATCGTTATTTTTTAACTATTGTTGATGATTACAGCCGAGCCACTTGGACCTATCTTCTTAAAACCAAAAGCAATGCTTTCACCATTATAAAATACTTCATCGCCTTAGTGGAAAAACAGTTTAATAGTTCTGTCAAAGTTATCAGGTCTGACAATGCTAAAGAACTTGGTTCAAGTGTGGCGAATTCTGATTTTCTTTCTTCTAAAGGTATTCTTCGTCAAACCACTTGTGTTGGTACTCCACAACAAAATGGTGTGGTTGAACGAAAGCTAAACACCTTCTTGAAACCTGTCGTGCTCTTTTATTTCAGTCTCATTTACCTTCTATCTATTGGGGGGAGTGTCTTCTTACAACTACTTATTTGATCAATAGGTTTCCATCTAGGGTTCTTGATTCACACACACCTTATGAATTGCTCTTTGGGACAGTCCCTTCTTATGAATCATTACGAGCTTTTGGTTGTCTTTGTTATTCCATAACTTTGTCTCAATCTCGTTCCAAACTTGATGCGAGGGCTGTTAAATATGTTTTCATTGGGTATCCTTTCAATCAAAAAGGATATAAGCTGCTTAATCTAGAGTCCAACCACATTTTTGTCTCTAGGAATGTCAAATTCTATGAAAATATCTTTCCTCTCTCTGCTTCCGATACCTCACTCACTCCTTCTCCCCTTCTTCCACCCATCCCTGATTTACTTGATTTCCCTGATGTGTCTACTTCGCCCATTTCTGTGCCTTCCTCTCCTTCCCCTTCTCCTGTTCCTACTCCTATCACAGATCCTCCTACTCCTCCTGTATCTCCACCTCGAAGATCCTCCAGAATTTCTCATCCTCCTAGCTACTTAGCAGATTATTTTTGCAATTCTGTTTACTACACTGACCTTCACTCTTCTTGTTTCTCTGCTATTCCTGCACCTCCTTCTCTCCATTTTCCTGCCCTTTCTGCCTCCAATAGGTCTCTCCTCTCTTCCACCTCTCCCATTTTTGAACCTACTTCATATTCTCAAGCATGCCATCACCCTTGTTGGCAAGAGGCTATGGCTGCTGATTTTGCTGCTCTTGAGGCTAACCAAACTTGGCAAGTTGTTGAACTTCCTAATGGTCACAAAGCTCTCCCGTGTAAATGGGTCTACAAGGTTAAGTACCTTGCTAATGGTAGTGTCGATCGATTTAAAGCTCGCCTGGTTGTTCGTGGGGATGTTCAAAGAGAGGGGATTGACTATACCGAGACCTTTTCACCTGTGGTCAAGATGACCACTATTCGCTGTTTGTTGGCAGTTGCTGTCAAGAAGGATTGGAAAAATTTTCAGCTCGATGTTAATAACGCCTTTCTACATGGTGAATTGCAAGAGGAAGTCTATATGCGATTTCCACCTGGTTTGCCCCCGCCGAGTCCTACTCATGTTTGCAAGCTCACCAAATCCTTATATGGGCTCAAGCAAGCCTCCCATCAGTGGTATACCCGTCTTATAGCAGCTCTCACTTTCAAAGGGTACTTTTGTTCATTAAATGACTATTCTCTATTTTACAAGACATCTGTTTCTGGAGTTTGTGTTCTTGCTGTCTATGTCGACGACATCCTCCTAACAGGGGATGACCTCAATGAAATTTCTCTCATCAAGCAATTTCTTTATTCAGAGTTTAAGATTAAGGATTTGGGTACTGCACATTTCTTTCTAGGCATGGAGTTGCTCCGTGAGCCTCAGGGTCTCATTCTTACACAGCGGAAATTCACTTTGGATTTGTTATCCGAGTTTGATTGCTTGGATAAACGCCCTGCAGCATCTCCTCTTGAACCATCCTCCAAACTTCATGCTGATGTAGGTGATCTTCTCCCGGATCCTTCTGTTTATCGTCACCTCATCGGTAAGCTCAACTATTTGACTCACACCCGACCTGACTTAGCTTTTGATGTTCAACACTTGAGTCAGTACATGCAGACTCCCCGTGTTCCTCATTTTGCAGCTGCAACTCATTGCCTGCGTTATCTTCTATCCACCACTGGTATTGGTCTCTTTTTCTCCTCCGATCCCTCTTTCAAGTTGCTTGCTTTTTGCGATTCCGATTGGGGTTCTTGTTCGGAAACTCGTCGCTCTATTAGTGGCTATTTTGTGAGTTTGGGAGGCTCACCGATCTCGTGAAAATCGAAGAAACAACCTATTGTATCTCTCTCTTCCGCTGAGGCGGAGTATCGATCTATGAGTCGTGTGGTTGCGGAAATCACCTGGCTGGTGCGTTTGCTTTCAGACCTCACTGTTTCTCCTACCCTTCTTGTACCTCTTCACTCTGACAGTCAGGCTGCTATTCACATTGCTAAAAACCCGGTTTTTCATGAACGTACCAAGCATGTGGAACTCGATTGTCATTTCGTTCGTCAACAGTTCCTCTCTGGGCTCATTTCTCTGATTTTTGTCCCTTCTGCCTCTCAGCTTGCCGACGTTTTCACCAAGTCTCTTCCTGGTCATCATCATCGCCACCTCACCTGCAAGTTAGGAGTGGTCTCACACCCCTCTAACTTGAGGGGATGTGTTGACACTGGTCATCATTCTCAATCTGAGAAACTCAATTTTACATAACAAAGGCCTCAGATTCATGTTAAAGAGAAAGACTAATCATGCAGTCTTAGGCCGTCTATGGGCTTCTACTTATAGAAGAGTGATGGGCCAAATATTTTTCTCCTTCATAGAAAGACTGTGGATTCAACTCTTCTGGCTTTTCTTTTTCTTTTATTTTATATAGAGAATAAAGTTTGTTATAGGACTGACCAATTGTAAATAGGACAGCTGGAGGTTAGTTACAGATTTAGGTTTCTTCTTTCTAGCATATATAGCAACGCTTTTGTATAGTGGATTGGATCATCACGTTTTTCATTTTTAATATCACAAGAGAAAATTCCCAAAGTTTCTTTCTTTTTCTACACTTTGTGAATTTAATTATCAATATATGTTGCTTCTTACTATTCGCTTTCTTCGTTTTGCATGTGAAATATGTCCGAGTTCATTGTGAACTCATTTCCCTGCATTTCAAGAGAGCCGTAAAGGCGCAAAATCCTTTACATGAGTCAGTCAACTGACCATTTAAAGTCGACGAACAGGTTCCGGAGTTGAAAGGACACGCAACAATTTGGAGAATTGAAAATTGGGCCAATCTTAATTTCAGAAGATTGAATTTTGTTAGTTTTGGGCCTAAGCCCTTGTTATTTTATTTTTATCTTATTAGTATTTAGGACAGGTGGAAGACGGGCGTAAGGTCCAAAGAAATAAGTTTTATGTTAGTTTAGGACAGGTGCAGATAACTCAAATGGGCCGAAGGCCCAAAACGAAAATGAGCCCAAATACCGGCCCAGGCGGACAGGAAAACCAGATTTGGGCCCAAATTCCTTTCTCTCTTTGTTTTATTATATTTGTTTACTCATTATTTGCTATTAATCTTAAGGTTTTAAAAGAATTCAAATCCCCAAAAGACACCCATTTTTTTAAAAAATTAATTACTTAACTAAATTGTTCATCTCTTACTTAACGTAAAAAATAAATAAATAAATTTACAACATATTTCACTTATATAATATTTCAATATTTCCCCTTTTCCCCTTTAAGATAGTTCTAACCGTAGAATAATTCAATTTTGCAAGTCAAGTTAACTCGAATAAAACTTAGCCAAATAGTTAATCGTCGGATAACCACATTAGTGGACATTCTAGGTGCTTTTAAAACCTTCCTAGAATGTTAATAAGAACCTCGAACCCCTTTTTTAAGTTTTCACTAGATTTCTGTTTTAGTCTTTTGCAAACGACAGTTTTCTTGATTTTTCTTAAAAATTAAGTGGAGACTCTTAAACCAGTCTAAATAATATTTTCCTATTAAAACAACTCCCTCTCGTCATTATACGCAATATAGATATGTGCAGAATCGAAAAAAATATTATTAAAAGAGTAATCAAGTTCTGAACCCACATTTGCAAAGTGTAACGAGTATTAGTTGTATAAATATAGACGTTGAACCAATCAAATTTAAATCATTAATGATCTGTTTTTGTTTGCTCCAAATATTTTGACATTAATAATCTTTAGTAATAAAAATATTTATCAGAACACCTTCCAATTTACGGAAGAAATGATTTAACTTTAACTTGTACTTTTCATAAAATATTTTCTCATGATCAATCAAATATTGTGAGACGTTATACAAACATTTTACAGATTTCATTGGAGAAAATGAAAAACAAAGAAAAACCTATAAAACGATCGAGCTAAAAATATGTAATTGTGAATGTTCAACTTGAAGTTTGAAGTGAGTAACTGTTAAGCTCAAGATCCTCAAGAATGAGGTGAAGTATGAGAAACATACAGGAGGAAGAGAGAAGAAAATTAGTAGCCGTTAGGAGTACATTGAAGATATTTATAGTTCACTAATCTAACTACCTAATTACATGGGCCATCTTAGTTTATTGGGCTATAGTTTACATTTGGGCCTTATGCTTTCATTCTATCCTACAGCTCCCCTCAAGCTAGGAGTGGTAAACAGATTAAACATTCCTAGCTTGGTCATGAGAACTTCATGTTGTAGTCTACTTAATCCTTTTGTAAGAATATCCGCTGGTTGATCTTTGGTTGATATATACTCTGTTCTGGCTAGCCCTTTCTGAAATTTTTTCTCTTATGAAATGACAATCAATGTCAATATGTTTGGTTCTTTCATGGAACACTGGATTGGCAGCAATTTGAATCGCTGACTTGCTATCACTGTAAATGCATACTGGTAGTTGTAGTTGTACTCCAAGATCCTTCATTAATCCAGTTAACCAAGTTAG